TGGGGGGTTTGGGGTGGGGGTTGGGGTTGGGGGTTTGGGGTTTGGGGTGTTGGGGTTGGGTTTGGGGTTTGGGGTTTGGGGTTTGGGGGTTTGGGGTTTGGGGTTTGGGGGGGTTTGGGGGGGTTTGGGGTTTGGGTTTGGGGTTTGGGGTTTGGGGTTTGGGGGTTTGGGGTTGGGGTTTGGGTTTGGGGGGGGGTTTGGGGTGGTTGGGGGGTTTGTGGGTACTTCAGGCTTGTGGCTGGCTGAATGCAAAAGCTCCCAATGGGTCCAGAGTCAGGTTTAGGGTTAGGGTCCCTCTCCAATCCTGGCGAGACGAGAAGAGGGAAGGAAAGGAAGGTTTGGTGGCGTGTAACCGCAAGGGTCCATGTACCTCAGTATTGTATTTTTTGTGCCCAAAATCCCTACCTAGGAGGTACTTTAAGGCCCAAGTACTCCCTGTTTCGGTACATGGGTATTTCCCTGTTTAGGTACATGGACCCCTTAGGTAAGCAAGAGTGAACACAGAATCAGGTATTCAGGAGAGCGGGCCAACCAGCTGCGAGCGTTCAAGGCTGCTTCAGCAGTCAGGGCGGGACGAAGCGGGCCATCCCGCGTGCGCAGCTGCCAGACCGAAATCGAGCTCAGTCCACTCCGGCTCTTTAGGTTCAGGGTAGGGCCACAGATGCTCGGGCAGCGGCTAGTCGTCAAGGCCAGCAGCGCAGCAGACACAATGTGCAGCCACACCACCAGCCGGCAGGACAACTCTTGATACTCCGACGCAAGCATCATCGGTCAAAGCCTTGCCCATGCCCCTCAGAAACGCAGCAACCTGTTTTTTCCATCTCTCCGCACCACCTCCCGCAGCAACTGTAGTACCCCACGACGGGGTAGGGATCAGGCTTATGGAGTTTAGGTTGTAAGGTTTAGGGTTCAGAGTTAGTTTAGGGTTTAGGGTTTAATGTTGATACAGTTGAGGCTGCAGGGTTTGCGTTTAGGATCTATAGGGTTCGGCAGAAGGCTTGGGGGTGCGAGGCCTGTGGACAAACAGGAACAGGGATTTGGGCTTAGGACTTAGGCTTTTGGTTTGCGGAAACTGCAACTCTATTACCTAGAGGAAGGGTTTATTTTCAGTTTCCACCTGTGAACACTGTGAGCTAGAGGACTCTTTTGTTTGAAGCATCGTGTAAGGAACCCACCCCCAAAGAAAGGGCACTACTGGCTACTGGCATTACAACAAACAACCCTAAACCCAACAGCTCGAACCCCTCAACTCCTACCCGGCAACTGCGACTAGGCCGGTCCTGTCCTTCGTGCGCGCCTGGGCAAGCAAACATGGGGAGTTCCCCCAACACTGCTCCTAACCCCAGAGACAAGAGTGTTTCTTATTGGGGTTTTCGGAGTTTTAGGGTTTAGGGATATGTGCAATACGCGGGGTTTCCAACAAATAGGGCACCCCCTTTTTCCGGGGTTCCTGCTCTAAGAACCTTGGATAGTTGGTGGTTATTCGGTGGCCTTGTTTTGGCAATCCCACATTAGCGAAAAAAGTCCGCCCTTTGGTCTTCTTGTTATCATGGACATAAGCATTGTCCATGCTCGTGTTACCATCCCCTCATTGCGAAAATCTGCATCCTGAGTGTATTTTTCCGTATATGGGTGAGTTGCATAATATGGGTTCTTGCCTCAGAGATGCTTAGAGCTTAGGATCTTACAACTGCAGGGTTGTAAAGGGCTAAATTTCAGAAGCCCACAGAAACTCAACCGCAGTAATATAATTATGATTTATAAAGATTACTAATATTACTAATCATATTAAATGCTAAGATACTAATATCACTAGAAATATTACACAAATAAAATTCATAAGCAGTAAATAAGAAAACTGCAAGGTGGCTCGACTTCACGACCTTGTGCCGTGGCAGCAGGCGACTCCACTGATTCGGTGTGGCCGGCGGCACTGGGTATATAGTTTGCTTCATAGTTGGCACTTGGGGTGTTTAGGAAAGTTTTCTACTTGTGTAGGGTCCCAAGCCTCAGACTCCCGACACCCCGAACCCTGTCAAGCCCTGGGGATTAATCCTAAACCGTTTCAAGAACACCCTGCTGGCGCTGTCCTTTGGGGCCTGATTGCTCTTTCTCCTTCAAACGCTCTCCCTCATCCCTAAACCTAACAACCCTAAACCCTAAACCCTAAACCCCCTAAACCCTAAACGTACCGAAGGGACGGTCGCGCTCCGCTCCTTTGGGCCCTCCCGATGGCACTTGCAGGCCCCTTGGTTTAGGCTTTGGGGTTCAGGGTTTAGGTTCAGGTTTGGGTGCAGGGTTTAGGGGTTTAGGGTTGGTTTTGGGTTTTGGTTTGGGTTCAGGGTTTAAGGTTTAGGGTTCAGGGGTTTGGGGTTAGGGTTAGGGTTCAGGGTCAGGGTTTATGGGTTTAGGGGTTTGGGGGGTTTGGGGTTTAGGGTTTGGGGTTTTGGGGTTTTTGGGTTTGGGGTTTGGGGTTTGTGGGTTTTAGGGTTTGGGTTAGGGTTTTGGGTTTTGGGGTTCAGGTTTTTGGGTTTAGGGTTTAGGGTTTGGTGTTTGGGGTTTAGAGTCGAAATTGTTTTTTCGCTCTCTTATGCTCCAAAAATTCTGCCTACCACCCCCCCCCCAGAGCTGTAATTTGAACACCGGAAAGATATACCTGAAACCATAGACCTCAACCCGAAGTGAACCCCCCCAAAACCTAAACCCCAAACTGCACCCTTTTTGCGCCCTTACACCTCAATGTAACCTGAACTGAAACCTCAAACCTCAACCCGAACCCCTAAACCCCTAAACCCCAAACCCTTCAATGTCAGCCCCTAACCTCTAAACCCTACACCCTCTAGGGTTGATCCAAGCCCGCCATGTGCTTCCGAGAGGACCCATGGCCGGCCCAGCACCAGGCTGGACTTCGGAAGCTGCTTGAGGGTTTAGGGCAGTTTAGGGTTTGTGGTTTAGGGTTCAGGGTTTAGGGTTTAGGGCAGCTTTGGGTTTACAAACTCACAGATCTGGCGGGGGCCATCACCAGGCTACTATCGGGGAAGATCCCGGGTACACTTCGGGTGAGTGCGTCGCGCAAGAACGCAGCAAAGTCTGCGTGGAAGTTAGTGCCTTGTCACCTCAAAACGGTAGGGTTATCTGAATCCTGCAAGAAAAGGCAATTCTGAACCACCATGCGAGTTGCTTCATCAACCCAACATGAAGCCACAAGCCCTAAACCCTAAACCATGAAACCCTGAAACCCTAAACCCTCAACCCCAAACCCTAAACCCCTAAACCCCTAAACCCCTAAACCTCTAAACCCCTAAATCCCTAAACCCCTAAACCCCTAAACCCCTAAACCCCCAAACCCCTAAACCCCTAGACCCCTAAACCCGAAACCATGAAACCCTAAAACAACCCTACAGTTTCAGTGGCCCTTGGGGCCCCTGCAGCCGTTTCACCGCCTGTCAGCCCACAGATGCGATTTGGTGCTTGCTCTAAAGAAAGAAACTTACTTAGCCAATAGTGGGCTTTAAGTGTTTGGGGTTTCTTTATCTAGTAGGGAAAAACAAAGTTTATCACAGTTTAACTGTGTTGTCCCCCTGGTTCTTGGAGAAGTAAGAAACCCCTCGGGCCCCCAGGAAGAGGAGAGTTTCGCTTTAGGGTTCAAGGTTTATGCGGGTTTATAGTAGGTGTTGAAACGGGCTCATCAAGGCTTATACAGGTTTACCAGGGTTTCTACGGGGTTTATCAGGGTAAGGGTTTACAAGGGTTTATACTGTTCTAAACAGGGCTTAGAAGAGATTTTAGGGTTTACATCTGAGAGCTGCACCATGAAGCCAACTCACAGCTGACCTGGGTGGCGAGAGACACCTCTTCGGTGTCAGCATGCAAGACCCTGAACCCCTAAGCCCTAAAGCCCTAAAGCCCTAAAGCCCTAAAGCCCTAAAGCCTTAAACCCTAAACCCTAAACCCTAAACCCTAAACCTGCAAGCCTGCGCGCTTGCTGCACCCCAAACCCTAGTTAATGTGAAGCCAGCGGCATGCAAAAAACAAACGCGTGGTGAGGCAAATTGTGGCAGGGACATACCAGGATGGGCTATTATACCCTAGAGGGCCTTTATAGGGTTCATCATGGGGATTTTAAGGCCTAATAGCCCATCCTGGTAAATTAAGCTGCCAGATAAGCTGTGCTGTTCACGTTTCGGTCGGCAGTGTGTGGGTGCAGTTGACTACGGCTTTGAGATCGCAGGCACATGTTGCTCCAAGATGGAGCTTCTGCTAGGTGAACAAGATACTCATCTTACCAGCTCTTTTCCAGCTGAGCGGCTGGGTAAATTTTTTTGAATAGAATCCCCCAGGCACTATACATAGTCCGAAACGCTATAATCCTACATGCCAGAATGCTGAACCCTCCTTCTCCCTCCCTCCCCCCACTAAATGGCCCCTAGCCCCTTCGAAGCAGAAGAGGTCGGGTTGCTGTAGCAGGGTTTAGGACTCTAGGACATAGGATTTAGGGTTTAGGGTTCATGACCAACTTGCCCCGGGACACGACACACTCACCTTCCCACCCAAAGTTTTTGTAAGGTCCAGGATCCAGCTTCCAACCTAAGCTTGCTACCAGTGCGACTGGCGGCTCCTTACAGGGTTGAGGGTTTAGGGCTCATGAAGCAAAGAAATCCTGTTTTTATAGGCCACCCGTATCCTCCAGCCTACAGCTGCACATGAACCACGAAGCCTTCAACCCTAAACCCGAGGCCCAAGCATCATCCTTTTCATCGTGGCCAAACCGCCCTAAGCCCTATACCTCCACCCTATAGCATGTACCCAGAAAACCGCAAGCCTTTAAACCCATTTTCCTAAACCCGGAACTGCCCTAAACTACCCCCCCGCTAAGGAGAGAAAGGAGGCTTGAGCAAGCTCTTCCCGAAGTACATCCTGGAGACCGACGGCGGGGTCGGAACCTCATCTTGGGGAGGGGTCTGCCTTCTGATCTTACGACACACGCCCAGGTCTTTCTCATGGCCGCCAAGAAACAGAAGAACAACAAGACGTCCAAGTATGCCACAGCCCAAGATGGCTTAGGGTTTAGGGTTTTTAGGGCTACTTTCTTCGGCTTGGTGATGTGTGCCTTTGGAGGGTACATCCGCATGATAAGAAAGCAGCTTTCCGGATGTAGGCTTTTGGGTTTTGGGCGGCAGCTCGCATCCCCCAGCTGTACCTAACTTGGTGTAGGGTTTTGCGGTGCAAGTGCGGCCCAAAGCCACACAACTTCAGAAGTTCGTCTAGTTCACAACTGTCTGACACCAACTGGGACAGGTTCCAAAAGTTGCTGTGCACACCATGCAAAGCTTAGTGTTAACAGGGTTAGCTTAGGGTGGCATGGGACCACCTTCGTCTTCATCCAACAAGGTCGTGACTATGTCGAAGACAGATGATACCGGCAAGGACGAGGAAGCCTATCTTGGCAACTTTCATCCGCACTGAGACTCATTCATTTAGTTCTTTAGTTTAGGGGTCCACTATAAATTACGGCACCCTTCTGGGTGATTTGAGATTGAGGGTTCGCCGCACATTGGCAAACTACACACTTGAGCTATAAACACCAGTAGTGTGAAAACGCCCCAAACCCCAAACCCGTCATACAATGCCTATTTGCTTAAGAACCCCCAGAAACAAAAAAACTATATTCCCTATATTAACCTTATGAGGAAGAATGTTTCTTTTTTGGGAGATTCGTAAGCAATTCGTAGTAAAACTTCAAGCCCCGAGTGTCCTCCTCGATTTTTGAAGGTTTGGGGGCTGACGTCCAAAACACCAAAACCCGAGCGTTGCTCCCAAGGTCCTAAAGCCCAAGCCTCTTGAAGACGAAGCCGAAAAAAGCGAAAACACAAACCCTAAACCCCATGGCACCCTGAATTCTAAACCCTAAGCCCCTTAAACCCTAGATCCTAAATTCCCTTAAGTCCTGAGTTCTAACTACCTAAACCCTTAAACCCTAGCTTCTAAACCCTAACCCTCCTTTTCAGCCCATGCGCACCAGCCGACACACCTTAAACCCTCAGCCCTAAGCCCTGAACCCTGAACCCTAAACCCCAAACCCTAAACCCTAAACCCCAAACCCTAAACCCTAAACCCTAAACCCCCGTATCCCATGAGCACCAACCGAGGCAAGCTGCGGTCAAACTTCCTAGGCCTCGAGTTCGTCGCCTACGGCGAGGGCATGAATCCCAAGAAGTGGCACGGCCAAAAGGGTTTAGGGTTTAGGGTTTAGGGTTTGGGGGTTTAGGGTTTGGGGTTTGGGGTTTGGGGTTTAGGGTTTATCGGGCTGAAATTTCAGGGATCCGGCCTCAGGATTTTGGTATAGGGTTTGAGGTGCAGGGCGTGTGTAGCATTTCAGGGTCAGAGCTGTTTAACACTCCAGGTTTCTTTGGGCTTTGCAAAAACCTCCAAGCCTTGAATCTCCGAAGCCCAAAAACCTGCAATCCCCAATCCCTGAAATCCATTTCCATGGCGCCTCAGGATTGACAGCTCCATGTCGCAGGCCGGATCTCTCAGCCCCTAAAACCTAAACCACAAACCCTAACCTTCGATACCATGTCGAGCTTAAGTGGGTTGGAAGGTAGAAGTTTCGAGTTTAGGGAAAGAAGTTTAGGGTTTAGGGGTTTAGGGGTTTAGGTGTTAGGGGATCGGGGTTTAGGGAGTTGCAACCTGCTCTTGCAGGTCAAGAAGTTCGATGTGCCTTGTTCTTGTCTTTGCCTCTCATTCGTACGACAACTTTGCAGAGGAATCCGAGAGCTGTCAGACCACTCAGCCGTCGCAGATTTAGGGTCTAGGTCTACTGCGTCGTTGTCATTTGATCATAAACCCAAGAAGGAACAAACATGATTAGCTTAAATAGTGCCCCAACAATGGTGCAGTCTGGGGTTTAGGCTTTAGGGGAAAGAAACAGCCGGAGCAGACTCGTTCTTGCAGGAGCCTTGTCTTGAGACAACAAACCGTATTTGGGGTTTACGATGTTAGGGGTACCTGCTTGGGGTCTTTTCTATAATTAAGGGGATCCTACTATGTGGGGGTCTATATGTGGGGTCCCTTTGTATCCTAAGCCCTAAACCCTAAACCCTAACCCCTTACTATCCGAAGCATTTGGGCCCAGCTGCTTGGACAGGTGCATGCGCTGCAGCTGGCAAGGCTCGAGGGAGTCAACGCTTGGGTTTAGGGTTTAGGGTTTAGGGTTTAGGGTTTAGGGTTTAGGGTTTAGGGTTTAGGGTCGGGGGATTTAGGGGTGTAGAGTTGAGGGTTTAGGGTTTGTCAAGGGGCTGGCTGTGGCTCTCGTAAAGGATGATTTGGCAGCCCTTTTTACTATAACTGTCACATGGTGGTTAGGGTTACAGTGCTATGTGTTGTTTGCGAGCCTTGAGCAGGGGGGGCAGACTCTGGGTATTGTAGTGCTCGAAAGCTGGCGGCTGAGTTTGTCGTGAGCATTCCTCCTCACATGTTTGTGCACTGAGGCTCCAGAATCTAAGGCCAACGTCCCCTAAACCCTAAACCCTAAACCCTTTTCCCTCAGGACCAGGTAGGCGGTTGGCACATACCGTATTTCGCTCAACCAGTTCTTTCAAAAACACCAGGAATGTATAGTTTTAATTTCAGGAGGCCTAAATGCGAAAACTCCCCCACTCCCCTGCGCCGCGATTTGAAGACCGAGGGTTGAGGATTGAGGTGGGTTTGGGTGTAGGGGGTATCATGGGACTTGCTGACCAGCTGTGATTGGAGTTACAAAGCCACATGTAGCTACAAGCCTACATGTAGTTACGGTAACCTATCTAAGGCCAGAAGGGGAATGAAGTAGAAAAACCCCCCTCTCTGCTTGAGGCCAATTCTAATGTCGATTAGATGTTGGTTATGATGGTTCTGGTTTCTGTTTTGTTAAGCGGTGGCTACCCGGCCAGGCAAGAATTGCTTGCTGTCCAGTAGCAGCCTCAGCACCGCGATGGTGGGGCAGGGAGTCGATTTGGCTTCTTTTACGTGCAAGCACCGGTTTAAAGTTCACTGCATGTCTCTGGCTGCTGAAGCCTGGAAAGCCTGCAACCCCTAAACTCTTCATCCTAAACCCCCAGCACCAGCGAAACCCTACCCTAAACCCTAAACCCTAAACCCTAAACCCTAAACCCTAAACCCTAAACCCTAAGCCCAAGACCCTGAACTCCTACACCCAAATGCCCAAACCCTATCTAAACCCTCCACTCTGTAACCCCCAGCCCTAGTAAAACCCTATCAGATCCTACTACCCAAGCCTCAAACCCCAGAGCCCAAACCCCAGCTCAATCCCAAAACTGTGGGTTTAGGGTTTAGGGTTTCGAGTTTAGGGTCTAGGGTTTAAGGTTTAGGGTTTAGGGTTTAGGGCCTTCAACAACCGAGGTACAGCTCCTCCCTGTGGGGGACGAAGCCTCGAGGGCCACGGAAGATGGGCGCTGCCTCTCGACCCCTCCTGGCTCGGTTTAGGGTTTAGGATTTAGGGTTTAGGGTTTAGGGTTTAGGGTTTAGGGGTTAGGGGGGTTAGGGCGGGGGGTCTTAGGGTTTGAGGTTTAGGGTTCACGGTTTAGGGTTTGGGGCTTGGGGTTTACGGTTTAGGGTTTAGGGTTTTTGGTTTCGGTCTGGGGTTCGGTTAGCCGGTGCTCAGGGTTCTTAACGCTTCACTTTCCAGTGGGGCACGAGGTTTTGGGCTGTACTGTTTAGGCATTATAGTCTTAGAGCACTGGCTTTAGGATGTGCAGTTTAGGGCTTCGGGCGTTTGATCTAGGAGGATCATGGGTGGATAACTTGAGGGTTTTTAGTGGTCGCCTTGCTCTTGTACGGCCGCGTTGAGGGGTGCGGAGTGAGATTTTTGTCGTGGCTCATGGCATCCTGCTTCGTGGCTTAGCGTTTAGGGCTTAGGGCAAACCCACCCCCCCCCCCCCAGCCCAAAAGAAGGCCCGCAGCCAACATGCTATGGCAGCATTGGGTTACAAGTATCATCAGCAGCGGAGGCTACAAAAGGATGAAGCCTACCAATTGTTTTAACCCTCACCAGCCTCTTTCATCCTGAAGAGAGTGCTACAGTGATCCCTTGATCCGAACCAGGTGATTCCCAAAGTCCAGCCCAGCGGTGAGCGGATGATTTGCAGGACTTGCTGCGCGCTTGCTGCACACTGACCATGAGAGCTTGGGGGATGGTTTGCTTGCAAGAATTGCCATGACAGAGACCCAACATGTCTGCCTTGCCACTGTAACTGTACCCACACTGAAGCCGCGGCTCAAGCCAGCACGACGCAGTACTTGCCTGCCAGGTGCGATTCTTGTGACGTGGCCTTCACGATGGCGGAAGCCGTTCCAGTGCAGGTTCATGAGGAGATTCCAGCAGCATCAGCCACGATGGAAGAGGTCAGCGACGTGTTCCTAGACTTCGGAGTCGACTCCATGCCGGCCAGCTCGGTGTTGCTTCGATTGGCCTCCCCGGTCTTCAACCGCATGATTCAGAGTGGCATGAAGGAGGCCCAGCAAAGCATCATCAAGGTGGAGGTCGTGAGCAAGCAGGACTTCGAGATCTTCTATAATCTGCTGGGGCCTGCGGCGTGGAGCGCGGACAAAGTGACCGAGAAAAATGTTGATGCACTTCTTGCAGCCAGCGACTATTACCAGGTGGGCTTCCTCAAGACGGCCTGTGAGGACAAGCTGCTTGCTCTCCCTGCCTCGGGTCACCGTCTTCTTCAGGCCCACAAGCACGGGCTCAAGCGACAGCATCAACGATGCATCGACTCCTTGGGCAAGGGAAGCACCAAGGGTGATCTCACTACCCTCCGCCAAGCGCCGGACATTCTGCTGGAGGTAGCCCTGAGGAAGCAGGAGCTCCTCGGGTTGGCTTTGAAGCTGCAGGAAAGCCTCAGGACAATGAGGCCTGACATCCAGGAGTCCAGCGACATCATGGCTAAAAATATACCCGCATTTGCTGTCGAGAACATTGAGGGCGGAATCAAAGGCGCTTGGGCTGGTCGCATAAGTGGCCTGTTGCAGGGGAGGAGCCATGTTCACCAGACCCTCACAGCCGTGTTGAGGGAGGTGCCCCAAGTAGCTCCTTGATTTGCAGCTGACTCAAGAGTCCAAAGCTGCGGCGAAGCCAGGGTTCCTGGACCGCTCCTTTTGACTAACGTGTAGAACGGAACCTAGTTTAACGCTCGTCTTGGGTGGATTCGAGTCAATGGCTTAGAAAAATGTTGCAAGGCCGTTTAGCGTTTAGGTCCTCTCCAGTTGGTTTTATTCGGTCCTAGTCATCTGGAGTCTTGGAAAAGTATTCGCCATCGCAAACAGTCGGTAGAAACTAGTTCTGCTGCGCTTTGGGTGGGTCGTCACGGGATGCCAGAAGAGCACCGGTTCACAAGTCAGGCAGCTTCCGATGCAAAGCAGTTTTGATTCAGGCAGCAATCCGCGGAAAAGGATCCAGCTGTCTGGCAGTGTAAGCCCTCAACCCGAAACCCTCAACCCTCGACCCCCAAACCCTAAAGTCGTAACCCTAAACCCTAAACCCTGTACCAATTTCCAGAAGGAGCGGTGCTTCCAAAATCCGAAGCTCAAAGCCCCAACTGGGAAGCTCAGCGGTACAACTCTTTGGGTTCGGGGAACAGGGACATTGGTACCTGTCTGACGTTTAGGGTTTCGCTTGGGGTTCGGTGCTTGGGGTTTGGGGTTAGGGGTTTAGGGTTTAGGGCTAGCCAGCCTCAAGAGCGCTTTATCAATCCCAAGATCCCAAGAGTGACCGAACTTGAAGTTTTTGCCTTACGACCCTTCGGGTCATCAGCGACCCACATGCTCGTGTGTCCCTCAGACCCTAACCTCTCAACAGAGTTCAGGCTTAGAGGGTTTTAGGACCCTCGGACCTTTGGGTGTTGGGGGTTTAGCAGCGCTACCCTGAACCATAAACCCTCGGTAGGCCCCTGGGACATTTTAGATTTTCCCTTATTGGGTTTAAGAGAATAGATTTAGGAATATGCTTCGGACAGCTTCAAAGGGGCATCCTAGAACCTTACACCGTGACCACACCAGCCACCGAACACTTTTGGTATCAAGAGGCTGGGTCACGGAGGAGGGATGCCAATATGCCCGGCACCCTAAATCCTGAACTCGAGGAAGGGACTCCCCTTCACTGTTTAGGGAATGAGGGAGTTTGGGCTCAGGGAGTTTAGGAGTGCTTAGAGTTTAGGGTCTAGGGATTGACTCAAGCTTGTAACACACCTTCATAGTTACACCGTAAGACTCCATGTCCCCTTAGCACTGGGACTTCCTTGAGCCAGGACCTTGCACCCGGATCAAGAGGGGCTGGTCGCCCTGCAAAAGGCACAACGAGGGTTTATCGAACTAAAGGTCCCCTTCTAGCCACCTTGATTTTCAAGAGCTTCCTTTGCACCCCAAATAGGCGGCCTATATTGACATTTGCATGGGCGGCATGTGTCTGTCCTTTTGGGAAGGTAGGCTTTCCCTGCTGCATTTGCCATCACACCCTTTGTGTTGTTGCCGGCCCTGTTGCGCTCGCACCTCTGCTATGTGAGGCTGTATGAGGCTCGGTTTCAGAGTGTTGTTGCGGCCAATTCCCTCACCCTAAACCCTATGTAAGCATGGCTGGCTTTTATTTGCTGTAGTGAGGGCTTCGCACAACCTCAAATCGAAACGCCTTTAAGGCCGAACATATGCCCGGAAGAGTAGACAGACTTCCCAAACACACGACTGGGCTTGGTCCGGCATAGATTGCCGGACAAGCTTTCCTACCCGAAGCCCCAACATGCTACAGCCCTAAACAAATGTAGACCCGAAAGGCCTTACCAAGAGAGAGAGAGAGAGAGAGACCCTACACGTAAACCTCCGCAGGCGAACAACATGTCCCTCATCCACTCTTTTCACAACAAGCGTGCGGCTCAGAACTGGTGTAGTTGGGAATCTGCCAGTGGATGCCTGAGACTGGACCCTAAACCTTAAACCCTTCTTCCCTAAATCTCGAATCCCTAAATCCTTACATCCCTTATTAGCCCTCAAGCCCTTAAAACCCTCGACCATGCAGCCTGGCCCCCAATTCGCAAACCCCCAAGCCCCACCTCAACCCGTAGTTGTAAACCCTGAAGCTTGAACTTGACACCCCCAAGCCCTAACCCATAGGATCTTCGGGTTGAGGGTGTAGGGCACGAACCTTGAAACCTACCTTTCTCCTTCAACCACGGCTCACTTAGTACACTGATTGGCGCTTTATCGCAAAATTTTACACTTGAAGCCGGTTTATGCCCAATACGTCTAAATCAAGGTCCTCCCCTTATCATCCGATGTAAGTATGCTGCAAGCTATCCGAAATACCTTGCACCCTTGTCTTGAAGGTTCTAGCTCACCCCAAACCCTGCCCTGAACCCCAAACCCCAAAACTCCAAACCCAGGTTTCGGAACACTCTGGTCCCCTGAGGCCCCCAAAATGGAATGAGCAAGTGGGTGCCTTCGTCCTCAACTTCAACAAGCGAGTCACGCAGGCTCCCGTTTAAGCCCTATACCCTAAACCCCAAACCCTAAACCCTAAACCCTAAGGGTCTCAAAGTTCTTCGAAGTCTCTGTCTTCTTGCCTCAGAGTTGTTGGGCTTTAAGGGCTCCAGGGCTCTTTTCTGGCGTAAGGGTAGAAAGAGTTTTAAGGGTGGTATGTGGGGGCTCATTGCAGTGATGGTTTGCAGACTGGGGTTTGAGGTGTTTCAGTTGAAGTGTTGAGGTTTAGGGTTCAATATAAACTCGTACAAGGCTCAGGGTTTAGGGTGGAGGAAGAGCCTCGCTGTTGCATTAATGGTTTTAGATTCCTCCTCGGTCGGGCTACTAGTCATAGGAATAGGGGCGAATTTGGGGCACACTATGTAGGGCTTCGAGGCTTACAGATTGTTACTTCATAGGGAATAACAGAAAAGAAACCAGGTATCTTAAGACCCCCATGTAACCGAGTACCTACTTCCTCAATTCCCTACTCAGAGCCTTAAACCGCCTAAACCCAAGACCTAAACCCAAAACCCAAAACCCTAAACCCTTAACCCCTAAACCCTAAACCCTAAACTCCAAAACCCTAATGCCCGCCCATGTGTGCGCCTGCTTCAGGCGTCGGTGAAGAACTTTCAGCTGACGACGGCCGATGATCCTGACACGGCCAGGGGGTTTAGGGTTTAGGGCTTGGGGTTCATCAGGGTTTAGGGTTCAGGGTTTAGGGTTAAGGGTTTAGGGTTCTGGGTTCAGGGCTCAGGGTTCAGGGTTCCGGGCTTTGATTTCTTGAGTTGAGCAAGGGCATGTTCCGTCGGTCAGTTCTCTGGCTTGTCCGTTTTATTGCTTGGGGAGGGGTGGGGTGCGGAGCAAGGCTTGGCTTGGGAAAAACAAGCCCCAAACAGTCTGGGATTTAGGTTTTAGGGTTTAGGGTTTAGGGGTTAGGGTTTAGGGTTTAGGGTTTACCCCAAACAGTCTAGGATTTGGGTTTTAGGGTTTGGGGTTAGGGTTACTGAGGGTTTATGGTTTACGCCACTAAATTTGAAGTCTTGGTAAGCTATGAGGCCCCGGCATAGCTGAAGATCCAAACTTCACAAAACGAAGGCAGCAGCGCGGAAAGGGCTTCGGGCTTTGTAGCCGTTCGTACTCAAGAGGAGCAGCCGCACCAACACATTCGTGCCACTGACGATAGCGGGCTCCTACATACGTGAAAAGATCTTTACAGAACCCAGCCCTAAACCGAAATCGAGCTTTCCTGGTCAGGTCTTCCTCCAGTTTGGCAGAGTTGGGAAGGCTCATCCGGTTTCTTCTGGGAGCAGAGCAAACCCTGCGCACCTTCACCATGGGTTCAGGGCTTAGGGCGCTCAGTCCATGTAGATGTATCCTGCGCATTTGGAGCGTTTCGGGGAACGCGGGTATTTAGGGTTTAGGGAGATAAGGGGTTGTAGGGCAGGGCCTAGGGGGGCTTAGGGCTTAGGGCTTAGGGCTTAGGGCTTAGGGCTTAGGGCTCAGGGCTTAGGGCTTAGGGCTTAGGGCTTAGGGCTTAGGGCTTAGGGCTTAGGGTGTCGGACGTTTTCTTCTTGCCCAAAGCTGGAATTCAATTCCGGAACCCTGGAACCTTTCCTAGATTGGGCCGCGCCACCCCATGCTTAGAACGGTACGGCGGGCTGGGCATTGAAAGAGTCTCAAGCAAGATGCATTCTTTAGGGTTTAGGCTCTAGTGTTCAGGGCTTCCCAAAAGCAATAGCTGTACATTCGACACCCGGTCAAAGAGGAAGCCTGTCCTCTACCCCAAGCTCTCAAGCCATTAATCCTAAGCAGTCTCAATATGCCAAAGCCCTGAAGCCCCACGCCCAAAACCCTTCAAGCACCCAAACCCCCAGGCCGCACACACCAAAACCTTTGAACCCAAACCCCAAAGCCCCTAAAACCCTGGCGAGGATGTCTTCAACAGGGCCCCAAACCCTTCAACCCTAAATCCCGAAACCCCTGAACCCCTAAACCTCTAAACCCCCTAAACCCTGAACCCAAAACCCTACGAAACCCCTAAACCCTACCAAACCCTAAACCCTAAACCCTGAAGAGGATGTCTTCAACATGGACTTCAAGTTCCCTTTCTCGCCCTTCCAAGCCTTTGCCATCTGCCAGGGACCTCAGTGAGGAGTCCTGCGAAAGGGTTTCGGGGATTTAGGGTTTGGGGTTTAGGGTGTAGGGTTTGGGGTTTAGGGTTTGGGGTTTAGGATTTGGGGTTTAGGGTTTAGGGTTCGGGGATTCGGGGTTTGGGGTGGAGGGTTTGGGGTTTAGGGTCAGAGGTTTCAAGATCTGAGCCCCAAACCCGAAGCCTAAGCTTCCCTGATCTGAGCCTAGAGAGAAGTTGCGAGACACAGGGATTGGGGAGCATTCGTTTTTTTTTTTTTTTTTCTTGGTGGGGGGGGGGGGGGTACTTTTGGACTGGTTCGGGCAAGGATGTTGGCATTAAGATGTAAACTTTGGGATGTTCCCCCTTACAGTAACAGTCCTTAAGAGGGATGATCATAGGGGGTACTATAATCTCTATCAAGGACTGTTAGTACAGGGGGGACCATCCCGACCCTAAACCCTAAACCCTAAACCCTAAACCCTAAACCCTAAACCCTAAACCCTAAACCCTAAACCCTAAACCCTATTAACCCCAAGCCTTGCTTTGAGCTTATATTTTAAGCTGGGGCTTCCAGTGCAGGATTCCCTAAAAACTGCAATCGCTGTGTGTTTGCCAAAGCCCGCCCCTACGCCCCGAAGCCGAAACCTTAGAAACCTCAATGGACCCCCCAGAAAGCCCTAGAAAACCCTAGAAACCCTGTAAAAGCCCTAGAGAGCCCTAGAAAAAACCCTAGAAAGCCCTAGAAAAAAAAAACCTAGAAAGCCCTCGAAAAAATAAGAAAACCCTAGCAAACCCCCTCGAAAACCCTTGAGTCCATGAGCTCAAAGCCGGGTTCGCTTCCGAGGCCTGAGCTCCTTCGACTACAAGCTCTGCTGCGAGTGAACAAAAGAGAACTCGGAGGGGCGGCCGACCTCTCGCCCCCCCCAAGCCTACTAGATGCTGAAGAGCCACCCCGAAAAAACACAACACGCCCTTATAAGGAAGAACAAATATTACTACTTTGCACATATATATATATATATATGTATATGTGTGTGTTTATATATATATATACATATTGATTTATTTATTTATTGATTTTTTTTGAGGGGCGTTCTTATGCAAGTAGTAGAAGCCAGGAGATCTAGGATTTAGGGTTTAGGGTGTAGGGTTTTTGGGGCTTAGAGCTTCAGGACTTCGGAGCTCTCTAGGGCTTTACGAGCCTTGAGTATGTCAGCTCTTTTGGGGCATCGGGTGTGTTAGGGACTTATCAGGGTACAACCCTCAACCCTAACCTCACCTTAAGGCTCCGTTTAAGATGCCAGCTACTCCAGACGTGCCCAACCCCAAAACCCCGATGCAAAAAGTGCTAACGCACCAAAAGCTAAACTAAACCCCTAACAAAACTGAACCGAGGGATGATAGGGTTTAGGGAATTAAGAACTGAGGAGTTTAGAGATTTAGGGGTTAGGGAGTTTGAAGTGTGGTTTAGGGTTTAGGGTTTCGGGTTTGAGGTTAGGGTTAGGGTTTAGGGATCGATTCCAACCCCGAAGAATTATGGTGGTTTGGGTTTGGGGGGCTGGTATGCAGCAATTTCAGACTAAACCCTAAACCCCAAACCCCAAACCCCGAAACCCCCAAAGACTCTCAGAACACTCTAACAAAACCCTAAACGGGTGGAAGGGCCCCGCCCCTCGAGTCTGCCACTTCAGCTGCTCTGCTCAGGGGTTTAGGGTTTAGGGTTTAGGGTTTAGGGTTTAGGGTTTAGGGTTTAGGGTTTAGGGTTTAGGGTTTAGGGTTTAGGGTTGGGTTCGGCCGGCCCACACTAACAGTCAAATAACGCCGTGGCCTTATAACACACAGGCCAAAAAGAGCACCAGGAATCCCAGTCAATTTGAGCATTTACCGGGTGCTTCTTTTTGTGGGTCTGCTGGTGGTGACTGCTAGTCACATAGCAACAGAAATAGCACCAGAAATAGCACAAACAATAGCACAAAAAATAGCACCAGAAATAGCACCAGGAATAGCACAAAAAATAGCACCAGAAATAGCACCAGAAATAGCACCAGGAATCCCAGTCAATTTTAGCAGCTTAGCATTTACCGGGTGCTGTTTTTTGTGGATCTGCTGATGGTGACTGGTAGTCACATAGCACCAGAAACAGCACCAGAAATAGCACCAGAAATAGCACAAACAATAGCACAAAAAATAGCACCAGAAATAGCACCAGGAATAGCACAAAAAACTGCAACAGCACCAGGAATAGCACAACAAATCGCACGAGAAATAGCACCAGAAATAGCACCAGGAATAGCACCAGGAATAGCAGGAATCCCAGTCAATTTTTGGGCATTTACCGGGTGCTTTTATTTGTGGGTCTGCTGGTGGTGACTGTTAGTGTGGACCGGCCGAACCCTAGTTTAGGGTTTAGGTTTAGGGCTGGGTAGCGACACAGCCCCTGCTGCGTGTTCGACACCGATGGGTTTAGGGCTTAAGGTTCCTTTCTGACGATCTTTCGGGCTCTTAGACTTTGGAGCTCACGGCTTAGGATTTCGGGGCTTACATGGTTTCGGAGTTATAGGGTGTAGGGTTCGGGTTTCGGGTGCATGGGTTAGACGGTTGAACCCAAAGATGCAGAGCGCTGCTTGTCAACGCCCACGACGAGGAGCGGCAAGTAGCCCAGTGACTCTGAATACCCCTTTGCCTCTAAGGAGTTCTTAGTTCACGTGGTGTTCACACGAGGGTCCCTGTATTTGAAGGAATCCTCCTTAAAGCGTATTCCTTGCGGGCAGTCATTGGCGAAATGCTCAATAAATGACATTCGGATCTCCCTCCTGCTCTCATTTCTTTACTAAGTCAAACATCCTAACATCCAAAATCCCTTTAGGGCTTATAGGGTTTAGGGTTTCG